TTTTTCCTCCTCCCTAACAGATGTTTGTTGCAATTGTTCCAACACAATTAATTATATTTATTGGTTTACTTATTGGTTTAATTTATCAATATTTATTAACTTTTGCTGGATTGGAAGGATGGTTATTAAAATCTGAATATGGAGGAAGACATGGTTTTGTTGATCAAAATCGAGAAGGAATATTTTCTTTGTTTGGCTATTTTTTCATCTATTCTGCTTCGTTTCTTTATGCAAAATGTTCTGCACATTTTTTGGAAAAGTGAGTGATGAGAAAAAAATAATTTACCAAAAATAAAATTAAAAAAATGATTAACCATCGAACGGGTTCGAACCCACGACCCCTCCTCTGTGTATTGGGAACTTTACCGACTTAACCACAGTCGTTAAAATGTGGCAGATATTATTGTAGGAGTCCGTTAGTGTTCAAATTTTATAATTTGTAAAGAATAAAAAATATGACCACCAACCGGACTCGAACCCACGACCTGGTTTGTCACTGTAGTTGGGATCTTACCGACTTAACCACAAAAAATTTTTTATGAAATTTTTTATTTTCCAGAGAAAAACGTCTTTCACTTGCGCGTACTCTATTACTTTTTCTGATTAGTATCTTTTGTTATTTGTTACAATATTTGTTGGAAAATTATGGTTTACGATTGCAAGCTTCAAGACGTCTTGCGAACTTGACTTATTGTTTTGCTATGGTTTGTAAATTTATTTTAATTTTTTAGTCAATTAAAATTAGGAAAAATATTTTTATTTTAAATAATTTTCTTGTGTTTTTCAATCTCTTTTTTTTATTTTTTACCTTAAAATAATTTTTTTTTCAAGTTGGCCTTATTTTCTGCTTCAACAATTTTACTTCAAATTTTTCAATTTATTGCTCCAATGCCACGATCAAAAGGTGGACTTGTAGAAGCAATTAGTAGAAATGCTTTGTTACATTTTCTGATTGCGAATTTATTAACCGGGTTAATTTTTTGATTTTTTTTTTAATTTTTGAAAAATTTTGGAAATTTTTTTTTGGAAAATTTATTTTAATTTTCAGATTTGTAAATATGTTTAGCGACAATATTTTAGAGCTTAAAGGAATAATAACTCAAAGTTTAATTCTAATCATATATTCATTAAATACCTCATTTTTAATTTATTTAATTCCAATAAGAAGAACCTCAAAATAATTTTTGAAAAAATATATATAATTTAAAAAATACTCAATAAAAAAAGAAGGGCTATAAGAAGATTTAAAAAAATATTTTTTTGATTGTGGTATTAATTTAAAAATATGTGTAGGTATTTTTTGATATTTATTTTGGTACTTTGTTCATAAACCACCTCCACCCCTATTTGAGTCTCAGATTTATTTTCTTTTATTCTTTCCTGCAATGGTCAAATTTTCATCCTTGGAAATGATGATTTTGCAGTTAGTTTGGTTTTAACTGAAAAATTAATCAGACTCAAATAGGGGTGGGGGTGGTTTATGAACAAAGTACCTTTATTTTATTTATAACTATTTAATGGGATATTATATATGGTAAAAAATATATTTATTTTTAATAAAAAATTTTTTTATTTGAATTGTTCAAAAGAATATATAAATTCTTTTTAATATTTTATAAAAATTAAAGGAAAATTTTAAAGAAATATGGACTATAACTTTGGTGGACATTCTAAATTTAATTTAAAAAATTTTTTTAAAATTCCCCCAAAGTTATATGGTCAATATTTTTAAATAATAATTAATATTCTTTTTAATTTTATAGATTAAAAAATATTTCTAAAAGGACCTTGGAAGGACATCGGAATTTTGGGTGAGCCGTTTAATTTATTTAAAAATTAAAAAAAAGAAATTGCTAATTAAATTTATCAAAAATTAAATTTTAAAATGAAAGCTATATTTGGTCTTTAAAAACAAAATATAAGCGAAAAATGCAGAAACAACCATTAGAAAAATTAAAGAATGGACGGAATTAAAAAATGGGCGATTAAAAAATAGGGAAGAAGGGAGATAAGATTGAGGATTAATTAAGTGTCCGCAAATTTTTTGCAGACACAAAGTTGGTAATTGTCTAAACAATTAGCGGTATTACATGGACCAAGGGATAGCGCTGAGAGAGAATGGAATGAGAATTTTCAAAAAAATTTGTGCTAGGATTTTTCTCCGACGAAGGGAGAAGGGGCAAAATTTTTAGGGAGAAGCAGAGTCTTCGGGGAAATGCGAGACTAGGAAAAAGGGACCAAAAAAGAAGGATAAAAAAAATTTCCCCAAACTTTCGTAGACAGGGGAATAATTCTACAAAAAATAAAGCTAAAAAAGAAGACTAGTTTTTAAAGAAAAAATGAAAGAGGTCTTTTAAAAAATTAAAAAAAAACCTGAAAAAATTTTTTCTAAAGGGAAAAGCTCCTCTAAATTGAACAAAAAAGTGAATTTCCTTTCTCTTCTAAAAATAGCCATTAAATGCCTGTATCACAATAGCTTGCATAGGTCCTAATCTAATTAATTTTTTTCTTGTCAAATCCAAAAAAGAATTTATTGGGTAATCCTCTAAAGCATTTATAGAATTTGCAATAACCCTTCCATGCCATTTTTGATTTTTGTTGGTGTTTTGTTGAAAGAGGGGAAAAAGTTGTGATAGAGGTAGAATACGAGTTATTGAGCCAAAATTTGCAGCGAAAATTGTTATCTGTGAAAAAAATGGAATTTTTTGGGAAAAAGCCGGGGAAAAATTTTGAAAATAAGAAAGAAATTTTCGAAAATTTTTAAAGAATTTTTAGGAAATTTTCAAAAAAATTTTTTTTTGGATTTTGAAAATTTTTTTGAAATTTTTTTTGGCCAAACTTCTCGTTTTGGCAAAATTTTTGGAAAATTTTTTAAAAATTTTCAAAAACTCTAACCTCTCCATAAAATTTTCTATCATTTTCTCTATTATTTTCAATATATCTACAAAGCAAAAAAGCATCATGTTCCATAGGTTTAGTAATATAAACATTGCCATAACGTAAAGAATTGCTATATTTTCGTAAATTTGAAAGCCTCAAAAAATTGCGAAAAATGTTTTGAGATATTTGGGAGGCCTAAGAAAATTTTTAAAAAAATTTTTGAAAATTTAAAAAAAAACCTTGGGTCTATTTAGGCTAGGGGAAGCTGTTGAAGTAAAATTGGTAATATTATTTGTTGAAGAGAAATGGGGATTTTCTTCTTCAATTTCATCAATATTCCAGCCAAGAGGGCCTCGTTGGGGAAACTGTAAAAATTGGAAAAATTTAAAAAAATTGAAAAAATCTTCTGAAAAATTAAAAAAAAATTCTCAAAAATTTTTTAAATTTTTCAGGCAAACCTTTCCTCTGCTCAAATCTTTTTGGCCAATTTCCTCTCCATAATACAACAACGGCGTTCCAGGCAAAATCAAAATTAAATGAATTAAAATTTCTGCAATTATTCGACTGCCAACTCTGGAAGCTAAACGTGGAGTAAAGGCATTTCCAAAATTCCAAACAGGCCAGACCTTTTTAAATTTTATTTTTAATTTAAAATCAGAAAATTCTGATTAAATTTTAAAAAATTCTGACTTTAAAAATCAGAATTTCTGAGAAAAATTCTGATTTAAAAAATCAGAACAAATTCTGAAAAAAATCTGATTTAGAAACAAATCAGAATAAGTTCTGAAAAAAATTCTGATTTGGAAAATCAGAATAAATTATGAAAAAAATTCTGATTTAAAAATCAGAGTAAGTTCTGAAAAAAATTCTGATTTAAAAATCAGAATAAATCTTGAAAAAAATTCTGATTTATGAAAAATCAGAATGAATTCTGAAAACAAATTCTGATTTAAAAAAATCAGAATAAATTCTGATTTAAAAAAATCAGAATAAATTCTGATCTCAAAAATAAATCAGAATAAATTTTTTAAAAAATTCTAAATTTTTTTCACACCTTTACTCGATCTTCATCCTTTTCCACTAAACCAGTAGCACTTCTTTCTTCATCATTTTTATGAAAAATTAATAAATCTGCTATAATTTCATTAGCACATTCCCCAATATTATTTCCCTTATTTTTTGATGAACAAATTAAATTTCCAGAAGCTAAACTTTGTAATTCTGTATTTACAATTAAATTAAGCGAAGCATGTTCTATTAATAACCGTTTTGAAGCTTCTGATAAATGGGCGTGGGAAGCAAAAAGAAAGCTTTAAAATTAATTATTCTGATTATGTGTTTTCTTGTGTTTTGATTTTTTTGTGTTTTTTTAAGTTTCTGATTTGTGTAATTCTGATTTTGTGTTTTTAATTAATTCTGGTTTTTGTATTTTGGTTAATTCTGGTTTTGTTTATGTGTTTTTAATAATTTCTGAGTGTGTTTTTGTTTTAATTCTGATTTTTAATAAAATTCTGATTGTGTTTTTTTTGTATTTTTAATTTCTGGTTGTGTTCTTATCTTTAATTTCTGATTTTTAAAAATTACCGATGTATTTTGTTTAAATTCTGATTTTGTGTTTTTAATTTTTGATTGTGTTTCAGGTATATTTAATTCTGATTTTATATTTATTCAAATATTCTGATTTTATATGTTTAATAATGTATTTTTAATTATTCAATTCTCTTCTGATTTCTTGTATTTTTAAAAATATTCTGATTTTATATTTTAAAAAATTTACATTTTTTCTCTAGCACTTCCTCCTCCTCTTTCATCATCTAAAAATATTCTTAATGAACGCAATATTTTTGCAATTTTTTCCCAATTTGGATCCTTTCCATCTTCACTTCTATGTAAATAGTCTATTGAGGAAAAATGAAATCCATCAATTCCTTTATTAATCCAAAAGCTTAAAGCTGCCTGAAATATAATATTTTTTTCAGAATTCATCAGAAATTCTGGTATTTTTCAGATATTCTGATTTTTATGTATTTCTGTATTTTTCTGATTTTGTTTTATTTTCTTAATTTTTTGTATAGTTTTGTAGTAATTTTCAGACATTAAATTTTAATCAGAAATTTTTTTGAATATTCTGAACTTATTTTTTTTCTTAGAAATTCTGGGGTTTGTATATTGTATTTTTCTGCATTTTTGTTTGAGTTCTCATGTGTCTTTTTGTGTTTCTGTTTTTTTCTGATTTTTGTTTCTGATTTCTTCTGACTGTATTTTTTATATTTTCCCTCAAGATTCTCCCCTATTTTTCAGAATTAAAATAAAAAAAATTAAAAAGAAAACCTTAATTGTATCAGAAACATTTTTATTTGTCCAATGTAAAACAGGCAAATCTGGACGGTCTTTAACATGGAAATATTTTAGTGTAGAACCACAATATTCTGAAATAAATTCTGAATTTGGTATTCCCCTTCTCCAAATAAAAAAATCAGCAAAATGAGCATCTTCCGGATGGGCTGAAGCTAAAGCACTTTTGTCAAACCAAGGATTTGAAATTGAAGTTAGGACAAGGGGAAAATCGATGAGGACACGAATTCCTGTTTTGAAAATGTGGATTTGTTTTCTTTGAATTTTGTGTGTGTTTATTTTTGATGAGGTTTTGTGTGTGCTCAAGTTAGAAATTGAGTTTTTTTTTTAAAAGTATGGATCTATGCTCCATTTATCTGAACCCGATCCTAGGTCTGTAATTCAGGAAAAACCATGGAGGCGAGGAAGGGGCCTTAGGCAAAAGAACCTACTTGATCCTATTTTTTATGAGACTTTTTGAGCCCTACGAAATTGATTTTTTATTTGAACCGGATCCTAGGCCTATAGCCCATTTTTAGTTTCTATTAAATAAAATTTTAAAAAAAAAATAAAAAAAATTTTCAAAAAAACCTTTTTTATGTGCCTTTATTATTAATTCATTAAATTGTTCAAAATTTCCAATTTTACTTGCCAATTTATTATATTCAATAACACCCAATCCACTCTTTTCAACACGCATTATTGGACGTAAAAATATTGCTCCAACACCCAAACGTCGTAAATAATCCAATTTTTGAATTATTCCAATTAAATCACCAATTTTGTCAGAATTTGAATCGGAGAAGGAAAGTGTCCAAATCTTTAAATTTTTTAATTAATAAATTTTTTCTTCTAAAAAAGCTTTAAAAAAACCTCATATATCATTGAATCTTTCCACCACTCTCTCGTTGTAAATTCACATTTTGGGTGAGAAAAGGTTATCAAAATGGCAATTAAAAGAGAGAAAATCCAGCCAAACCAAAATATTGAATAGAAAAAGCACCTAGAAAAATTTTGAAAAAAAATGTCCGCAAAAAATTTTTTGCGGATAAAAAAAATTTGTCCGCAAATTTTTTGCGGACATTGACCTACACACTAATTTTTAAAAAAAACCTTTTAATCCTCCATTTTGGATCATATCTACATTCATTTATTTCATCAATACTTAAAGGCCCTCGTCTTCTTGCTTTAGGAATAAATAATAACTTCCTTCCATCTTCACCAGCCAACGGATCAAAACATATTGGAATAGAATTATTTTCTATAGCAAAAATATAACTATCAGATTTTGTCGTAGAAATTCCTCCATCTTTCATTTTGTTGAATTTAAAGAAAACATTGTTGTCTTGGTTGTTCCTTGAACATTTAAAAAATTTTTTGGAAAATTTACTGAAAAATTTTTTGACAAAATTGAACGGGAATGTTTGAGACTCTAATGTACTCTTATGCTTATTTTAGATTTTTAATTGTAGCGATATTAGAGAAAGAGAATATTGCTCTTTAACAATAACTCATTGGGGGGATTTTGTTCTCTGACAGAATTTTTTCTCTAATTCTATTACATAGGTACCTATACACACTTTGCCGATTCCACATTTTGCCAATAAGGCTAAAAATCCGCGTTTTGTCAATAAGCTTATTGGCAAAACGTGGATATTTAGCCTTCTTGGCAAAATGTGGAATGGCAAAGTGTCTGAACACGGTTCAACATAAAATCTAAAATCAGCAAATTAGCAGTATATTAGAGTCTTGGATTTTTCATTGATTTTCTAGGGAATTTTGTGTACATTTTTAAAAAAATAATGATAATTCGATTCAAAAAAAATTTTTTTCTTTCCAATGTTTAACAATCATTTTTTTACATTTTCAGATTTCCATATCTCTTCAAACAACTCTAAAATAAATTTAAATAAAAATGAGTTCAATTGGTACTGGTTATGATTTAGCTGCGTCTACATTTTCACCTGATGGACGTATTTTTCAAGTAGAATATGCAGCTAAAGCTGTTGAATCAAGTGTGACTGTTATTGCTTTAAGTAGTAAAAAGGGTGTTGTTGTTGCTGTTGATCAACCAATTCCTTCAAAACTTGATATTGAGGTTTTTTGATTTTTTTTAACGGTTTGATTTGGGGATTGATTCAACCCAGTAACGATTTGCTTTAGGCCCATAACTGGTCGAAAAGTTGATGTTTGAGAAAAAAGTCCGGAACAGGGGTTTGGGTAACCTGACCCATCTCTGGTTAATGAAAAAGGGGAGATCCATCCGGCTAAGTAATTACCAGGTCGAAAAGTCGATACCTACCCGAGGGCTACACTAAAAGAGAAGGTTCTTGATGCTTTTTCCTATTAAATTTTTTTCTTGTGGTCTTCTCATAAATCAGCATTTTCCTGGGACATGTGAATGTTCAAAACCTTGGGGTTAAACTTTTAACTAGAAAATTTTATCTAGTCATATTTATTTTTTAAATTTTTTTTAAATTTAAGGGAGCAAATAGCCGTATAATGCGAATTAATAATAAAATTGGATTTGTTGGTTCTGGACTTTTTCCTGATGTTTTTGCTTTGTGTGATTATGCTAGGGATGAATCACGCAAATATTATAAAGAATTTGATAGACCTTTGACTGTTAAAAAACTTGCTGGAAAGGTTTCTTTGTGTTAATTTTTGGGAAGAAAATTGATTTTTCAAAAAAGGTTGCCGAGCATGTTCATATTTACACGTTGGGAATATCTCGTCCTTTTGGAGCTTCTACTTTTATACTTTCTTGGGATGAAAAGGTTGTTACATTTTTTTATTTTTAAAAATAATGTTTGGCTCCATCCCTAAACTCCGATTTTTTAACTAAATCTCCGACCCTTTCTAGCTCGACCTTTTTTGGCTAGTATAATTTTTTGTGAACCTCAAGGTGGTCTGGATCCAATCCTATCGATTCTCCTAAATCTGTCCGTTCCCTTTGACATTATTCTTCTGTTTTGGAGGTGAGTTTGTAACCGACAGCGATTGATCTGTGTCCGTTATTTTGCTTATCGATTTATCTTGGGGTGTTGAAAGTAAACTTAAAAATTAAAAAAGGTTGTTACATTTTTTTATTTTTAAAAATAAAGGTAGGCTCTTCAATTTATTGTATTGAGTCGTCTGGCCAGTGCTACAAATATTTTGGATGGGCTATTGGGTTTTGTTTATTTTTTTAGATTTTTTTTTAATTTTTTTAATAAAGAAAAAATGCTCAAGCAGCAAAAACAGAAATTGAAAAAGTTCAAGAAATTGATGGCCAGTCAAATTTGAGTAAAGAAGAATTAATTAAACGTGCTATACACGTTTTATTAACAACTAGAGAAGAGGGAACGACTGGACATCGAATTGAAATGGGTTGGATTGGTGAAGATTCCAATGAAGTTTTTGAGGTTTTTTTCTTTTTTTGATTGATAAATTTCCTCGGCCGCTAATGGGTATCGAACCTTGGTCCCTGAAAGAGGCTTAATCTCACATGTATCCCACTTAACCAAGGGATACAAAATTTTTGTTGTTTGCTCGTCTTCTCCATTTAAGACCCGAAAGAGTAGAATATTTTTTTTTTAAATGCCCATGACCAGCAATTGGTATCGAACCTTGCCCCAAAAAGTTGGATGTTTTAACCACTTAACCAAAAGGTACAAAAAATTTCTTTAGGTGTGCTACCCCCGAAAAAGTGTTTTTTATACCATAGGGAAAATTTTTATTTTTCTAAAGATCAGAAAAAAATTTATCTTTAAGGGAATTAATCAATCTGAAGTTGACAAATTGGAGGAAGAAGTTAGTCAACAAATGGAGGATGAGGAGGATTAAACTAAAAAAATCCTTTATGATGTTTGGAAGGAGGAATCTTGTGGTTGGGAAGGAATCTTTTGTTGACCAATATAATTAATATATTTTTTTCTACTACCTACTATTTTATATATTTGAGAAAAAACTAAAAGGTTTTCTTTAAAAAAATTTTTTGGTTAAAAGTGCGGTCTTTGAGGAAGGCTTATGTTAGTTAGGTAGGATGTTGGTAGGTTCAATTTCTGCTTACAGATGGGTCTTGTTACCAAAAATCTTTTTAGAAAAGGTTTTAATTTTTTAACTTAACCTTAAAAAAATTTTTTTCTAGTTTGACCCGAGTCCCTATCAGAAGAGATTTTGAAGACCCGACTTTTTTCTCACCCAGGCCCACCTCTGGTTCCTATTTTTTGCTTTTAATTAATTACAGAATGGGATTCTATAAAAACATTCTTTAATTATTTCAACAATTTATTCTCCTAAAAATTATTATTTTAGAAACAAATTTTAAAAAAGTGAATGTAACCACAAATGCAAGGCTTTTAAAAAACAAAAAAAAATTTGGGAGATATAGTGGTATAACATTTTTTGGTTTAGAGAGATTATTAAGGCAAATAAAAATACATAAATAAATATAGATATTTAAAGGGACATAAAAATAAATTAAAAATGCAGCTGCAAATAAAAAATAACCCTCATGAATAGAATTTTGATATATAATTGATTTTTTTGCATTAAGGAAATTTTTTGGAAATTATTTTTTGAGATTTTTTTGGATTTTTCTGAATTTTTAGAAAAATTTTTGGAATTTTTGAAAAAAATTTTTTTAACCCCCCTTTGAAATTTTTTCGAAAATTTTGATCCCCCTCGAAAAAAATTTTCAAAAAAATTTTTGGACCCTCTTAGAAAAAATTTTCAAACCCTTTAGACCCCCTTTAAATTTTTTTCAAAAAATTTTTGGACCCCCTTAGAAAAAATTTCCAGAAAAAATTTTTTAGACCCCCTTGATTAATTAAAAAAATATCACAAAAACTTGAGACATTGTTTTGGTACTGGATCATGTATCCGTTTACAGAGATTCTCTTCTAAAGCATAAAATGCATCATTTTCCCTTTGACCATCCAAAACAACCCATGGAACAAAATTAAAAGAATCACCGATAGAAATTGTTTTGTTTCCAGCGAGAGCGTGAAGGCGGCGGCCAAGTTTGCCTATAGAACAAGTCCATAATCTGAAAATTTGAAAATCAGAAAAGATCAGAATTTTGTTTTAAGAGACCAGAATTTATGAAAATCAGAATTTCTTTATTCTGGTTTTAGGAGATAAGAATTTTAATATTCTGATATTTAAAAATCAGAATTTTGGAAATCAGAATTTATGAAAATCAGAATTTTTGTATTCTGGTTCTGAAAAATTGGAAATAAGAAAAGAGCAGAATTTCTTTATTCTGATTTTAAAGGACCAGAATTTTTGTAAATCAGAACCTATGAAAATCAGAATTTATGAAAATCAGAATTTTTATAAGTCAGAATTTTTTGTATTCTGGTTTTGAGAAATCAGAATTTTTTAATTTCAGAATTTTTAACACAAAAAAACCTCCTTACAAATCAGAAGAAGAATGTCCATTTAAACAACTTCTAAAAGCTGCAATTAAATTGTCTTTGCCTTGAACACATCCAATTAAAGGAATATGGCTTTCTGGATCTGGTAAATGTTCTATTGCACAATTCATTAATTGATTCAATTCACATTCGTCTTTTCCGTGTTGGCAGTCACATCTGGAAAAATGAGAAGAATTTTTGACAAGAAATATGGGTATTTTAAAAATTAATTTTAATAGTAATAAAAAACCATCAATGGGTATCGAACCTTGGTCACCTATGAGATACAAAGACTGGGCATTTTAGCCACTTAACCAAAGGAGCACAAATTTTTTTGGGTGTGCTACGAGGTCGGCCCCTCTAAAAAGCATTTTTAAATAATAAAAAATGTCTTCGACCCCCAAGCGGCATCGAACCTTGATCCCTGAAAAGATGTAAAAGTCATAATTTTTAACCACTTAACCAGAGGATACAAAAAATTTTTTTACGATGTAAAAACGGTCCTCGGAATCCTAAAAATCAGAAAATTTTTCAGAATAAAAATCAGAATTCTTTTAATTTCAGAAAAAAATAAACTTGTAATCATCCTCTTCAGCTACACAACTAGCTTTTCCAAAAGGCACAAGAGTTACGTTTAATCTTCGAGTAGACGATAGCCTCGACCATGAAGGCAATAATTGGCGTCTGATAAAACCTGAAAGGTTTAATTTTTAATAAGTTTTTTTTCCATTTTTTAATTTAAAAAACCCGTTGTGTCTGGACATTGTGCTTCCATATAAATTGTTACTTGAACAACATTTGCCTTTTTTGGTGGAGGTACAGCAACAGGCATTAATGGAGGTGGAGGAGGATTGTCTGGTTCTTCTTTAAAGGTCTGAAATTTTTTTTGAAAATTTTTTGGAAAAAATTTTTAGTGTTCTTAAAATTCTGATTTTTGTGTATTAAAAAATAAATTTTTTTATAAATTAACAACCAATTTAAATCCAACCGTTTCCAAAGAATTAATAAAAATATTAGAATTTTGATGAAAAATTAATAACAAAAATACAAGAGTAAATTTATTTACAAAATTTTTTCCAAACATAACACCCGCAATCAACAGATTCTTTTTTTTTCTCTTTCAATTTTTTTCGTCAATTTTCCGGACCAATTATTTTTTATTTAAATTGTGGGGGGTTTATGAAGGGAGAGAAGAGATGGGAGAGAGATTTTTTAAAGAGATAAGGGTATTTAAAAATGAATAAAAAAATAATTTTTTGGTGGATATTTTTTTGGATTTGTGGGGCTTTTTTTAAAGTAAATTAAATAAAAGGATGAGCCCACCCGTTTAAAAAATTATATAATGATGCAAAAGATAATACTAATTGTAAGGAAAATTTTTTTCGTGTCAATGAGTGAGTGATTGATGGATCAAGTTCATCATTTGGACGACAAGATGAAAGGAAAAAACAATTGACACTAAAAAAAATTAATTTTTGCTGCTTTTGCAGAAGAAAAATAGGGGAAAAATAAAAAATATTTTTAGAAAATAAAATATAAATTGTGTATTGTTGTTGTTTACGGATAATTAACAACACAATACACAAAAAATTAATACACTAATTTGTAAAAAAAAGGGGAAGGGGGTACAAAAATTGGCCAAAAAAATTTTTCTCTGGAAAAAACAAAAAAATTCTAACAGTTAAGCAAACAAATAAATAAAAATTTAAATTTCCACGTCGTTATATTTTTTGTGTTTTTTGGTGGTAATGGGTGCAATAAAAAAGAGCCACAAAAATTATTCATCTCTCATAAAAATAAATTCTTTCCCCCATCAAGAAATTTTATTTATAATTTCTCTCTTTTATTTAAAAAATAAAAAATTGATTTGGCCAATTTTTTGGGCCAATTCGGAATTTTTATTTAAAAAAATTATTCCAAAAAAATTTTTTTTATAAAAAATATTCCAAAAAATATTTTTAAAAAAATGTGGGAGGAAAAAAGGATGACTAATCCCAATAAAAAAATTAAAAAAATACACAAAAATGAGAATTTTTTTACTTAAAAAAATTTAAAAAACAACCTTACCATTTGATTATTCTCGTCCAGTTCAAATTTTGAATTTTGCCTGAATTTTTTAAAATTTGCTAGTGGAGGCAGTAGTCGTTGTCTATGAGGCATTTCAACAACATTTTCAGTTAAAGAATTCCACCAAATTAAAAATAAAAAAGCCAAAATAAATAACAACAAATAAAATAGTGGCCTTGAAATTTTATTTTGATGGCGATAATAATGACGTAAGTGCATTTTGAATTTAATTATTTTATTAAATTATTAAGAGAATGTGTGTTCACAGAAAATTAAATATTTTTTTATTTACATGCTTAGAAAAGCTGAAAAAATTAAAAATATTTTAAAAATTATAAAGCAATAGGATCATCTCGATTTACACAATCCCAGTGATGTTCTAGCCGACCTGATTCCCAAAAATCGGGGACTTATTTATTTTTTTATGTCGGCTAGATCCATGATACACCCCCCCCCCACCCTCAATATTACACGTACACGCATACAAACCAGGGATGGGCTAATTTCGCATTTTAGCGTTTCGCGTCTTTCGCATATTTCACATTTTTTAGCGCGAAAAGTTTCGCATTTCGCTTTTTAATTTTAGATTTGGCCCAGCCCTGATACAAACCCTCAGATTTTAAATAATTTTTAAAAAAGGGTTGTTTGTCTATAAGATGGATGAGGAGGGACAAGTTTTAGAAGCTTGTATTTATTCACAAATTGGCGAAGGATTTTTGATACCTTCAATAATATGTACACCTCCATCCCCAAAGGAAATGCATGTAAAATTGAGACATTCTTACTGTCTATTTTTAAAAAAAGAAAAAAATTAAGTACAGGAAACGAAAAAAATAATAATTTTTTTATTTGTATTTATTCTTTATACAATTCCCAAAAATAATTTAATATAAAGAAGCTTTTTTAAATAACACAAACATGTACCTATTCACAAATTGGCTAGAAGACGGAAAAAAAACTAGTCCTATAAAAATAAATAAATTTGTAGGAAAGGAAAGAAGGGGGGATGTTTTTTTAAAAATAATATGTTTAAATTGAAAATCGATATAGTGAAAATGTTTAAAAATCAAAGGGGGAAAATTAAGAGGAAAATCATATAGGACAGGCCGGCGCGCGGCCATAACGGCGCAAAGCCATAACTTTCTTCAAGATTTCCGATTCTTTCCAAATTTGGTATTAAACGATTCCTCTCATCGAGCTGAAGAGATTGGTACCAAAATTGATAAGGGCCAGAAATTTTCCATCAGGTTATGGCTTTGCGCCGTTATGGCCGCGCGCCTAATTGGGGTGTATCCAAATCATTGAATAACTCTACATAAATAATCGTTAGCGCGCATTTTATAAAATAGTGTTAAATGAAAAAAATATTATTTAGAAAAATGATTAATGAGAAAATATTAAATAAAATGATTAATTTTTAGAAATTAAAAGAGAAGATTAGAGGGAAAATTTTATCAATAAAAAAGGGAAAACATTGAAAGGAGCAAAGGAAGGTCTGCGCAAGAAAGGAAGGAAACCAAAAATGCAATCTAAAAGCTTAGAAAGGGAAAAGGGATATATAAAATCCGCGACCTTAATCCTTCCGGTTAATTATATTTTCCAAGTTGATGGGTTTGGCGAAATGTTTATTTTTATTTAAAATGACAAAAAATCCAAAAATGACATTTGATTTCAGAAAATTTTTTTCGAAAATTTTTTCGACTTTTCTGGAAATTTTTTTTTTGATTTTTTAGATTTTTGAAAATCCTAATTAATTTTTTTAATTTAGGAATGTGACAAACACCTTTAGAAAGGTGTATAAAAGCCTCCCCATAATTTTCTATTTAACACAAACCAAGAAAAGAAGTTCATCATGCCATTCTTTTTAGTTGTTGGTGCATCGATTATTGTTCAATCTTTTCCATTTTTTCTTCTGCTTGTTCCTAGTGTGTTAACAAAGTGTTGCAAGCGAAAAAAGGTGAGTTTTAGAGATTATGGAGGGTCAAAAAACTGTCCGGACAAAATACAGTTTGCGAAGTAAAAAACCAGACCAGACCCTTAAACCAAAACCCAATAGCCGTAGGGTCTAATATATTAAGAAAGCATTATATCTGGAAAATTTGACTCTTGTTCCGGAAAAATTAGGATCTGGATCGAGATCCAGACAGATTTCTAGTCCAGACGGTATTTTGGTCGGACGGTGTTTCGCCCCCCCCCCCCCCCCTGTTAAAGGTTTTAAATTTAAAAAATAATTTTTTCAAGAGATTTAATGGCCACAGCCATTCAACAACAATTTCTTCAACTACCGAAGAACATCCAAATGGATCAGATTCTACTCCTATAGAAAAAGTAGTAAAAGTTTCAACATCAAAGACGCCAAAAAATGTGAACAAGAAGGGTCTTGTGGAAGTTAAGAATCAGTCAAAGAAGACCGCAAAATCGGGCCAAGCCAATAAGAATGAAGAAAAACCTTTAAAAATTAAACAAATCAAAATTCAACCAAAAAAGAAGAAAGTTAAAGAGCCAACACCTCCTTCAGTAAAATTAACGTTTGTTTCTTTTTAATTTTTTGGGGTAAAGGTTAGGGACTTTAACTGAACCTAGAAAAATTAGAGGACCTGGATATGGATCCAGGACTTGATTTTTCGTTGGTTTTGTGGCATGATTTTTTGTTTGGTCCTCAACCAAAATCAAAAATCGGGGTTTTTTAAATTTCCATTCTCTAGAATTTTGGGACTTTGGAGGGCTATATCTTGGCCAGATCAAAAAACGGGCAAAAACTGTTCAAATTCCTTGCTAGAAAGGGCACATTCTCTATCGAATGAGCCCGGTCTCGACCGTTTTTAGGTCGGACACCTCGCAACCTTTCCTTGTGAGGATTAAGTTTTTTCGATTTTCGGGGGTTTGCCTAGTGGGTAGCCGACTGTGCTGCTGAAGAGACTTTTTCGGATTAGTCCTAAAATTATATCTTGATCCAGGCCTTGATTTTTTGGTTCGAGTTCGACTTGGTCGAATTCGGGTCTTGAATTCTCAAATTCAGTTATGACCAGTTAAGGTCCTTCTCTACCCTTTTTATGAGTTTTTAAATATTTTCCTTCAATTTTTAGTGCTAACAAGCCATTAATTCAACAACGTATAATCGCTCTTAATACCTCTGGTTCAAGAATAACCCCAGTCTCTTCAAGTTCTTCCTCTGGCTCAAAATCAAACAAATCACTTAAACCTAGCTTGATTAAACTTAAAGAACAGAGACGTGAAAAGTTTGCTTCAATTATGGAAGTGGATGAAGATTGGGAAGTATCCAAGGATTCAAAGGTTTTTTAATATTAGATAACCCCCTCCTCACTATTAGATAACCCCAAAATTGGGTACCGGTTTAAGATGCATTTTTTTTTAATTTTTGTTGGTCATTGCGAGAGTAGGGTCCAGTGGGATTTTGCGAGTATTACCTTTACTGGATCTAGGAACTTTGGGTTTGAGTGACGAGATTAATCCCGCGGCGAGATTTTTCCCGTTCTATTTTTGAGATATTTTTGAAAATACGGAATCACAGAATTTCGATTTTGGGGGAACTGCCTAAATTATGCCCTCTATTTAAGAAAAGTACTGGCTTGTCCAGCCTCAAGGGAGTATTTTAAACTGACGTTCGATTATGATTTTCTACAATTAAATTTCATTGTTTTTAAGCCTCATTGTCTCGCATCGGCTGCTTCTCACCTTGGCAATCAGCAGTCATATCCAAATTTGTGGAAGCCAGTACATCATGAAAGTTATAGGGCAATGCAACATTAAAAAGGATTAAATAAAGTATATTTTATTGTATAAATAAAAATGTTGTGATTTTTCACAATTTAATTTTAATTTAATAAAGAGCTTAAAAAATAATTTTTTTAATTAGAAATGTTGATTTTTCATTTGAAATATTTTTTAAAATTAATTTTGTAAGGAATTGAGAGGGGTTTTTTTTCCAAGAGAATCCCCTCCCCCCTCAAATTTTCTTGAAATACCAAACTGTTGTTCCAACCAGATATGGGGGAAACTCCAAAAAAATTTTTTTGAACCAAACGCGACGAAAATAAAAAAAAACATTTTGGTTAACGAAACGAAGCATTCGAAATTTAACAGAACTAAGCGTCTCGCCCGTGTTTATGTTAGTATTTTAAGCTTCTGGTATTATAAGATGACCGAATCATTTTATAATGGGTATTCTAGGATTTGACTGTTTTTTTAAATTTAATCTTTTTCTAGAAAATGAATTCTTCCAAAATTTTAAATTTAAAAAATGAGGAAGAAGAAGAAGAAGAAAATGATCAAGACGAGGAAGAAGATCTAGAGGAGGAAGAAGATGAGGATGAGGAGGAAGAATGGTCATTGAACGATGAAAAAGATTTTTTGAGAACTTTGGGTGCATTAAAATCTCGTGATCCTGAAATTTATCAAACTGAAGTTAAATTTTTTAAAGAGAAGGAAAAAGATGAACAGGAGAAGATAAAGAGGTTTTTTAATATTTAAAAAATATTTTTGGGGGTTGGGATTTTTGTTGTAATTTAAAAATCGATTTTTTATTTATTAAATTGGGGAACCCGCAAATTGTGTCCGCAAAAAATTATTAACTTTCGAAAAATTTTATTTGGCTCCTGAGCGGGTTCGAACCCTAGACCTAAAAAAACCTTCGAAAAAAAATTTTTGAAAAATTTTTGAGAGGGTTCCCAGAAAAAAGCCAAAAAATTTTCTAGAGTAAATCGATGATGCTCTATCGATTGGTACCAAAAAAAGGTCCAAAATTCTGATTAGTTTCGTAAGGTTTCCTTGTCAGTCCCAAATAAATTGCTTTTTTACCATTTTATTTTTTAATCGCATCTCTAAAAAATAGATTTTTATGGACTTTATTGCTATAACGTAGGGGGTGTCAGGTTCGAACCCGCTCAGAGCCCAAACAATTTTTTTTTGAATTTTCTCTATTATTCTTTTGTTTTTTAATAATGGAACGTCTAGAATATTAATAATTTATCAAAAATTTCTAAAATTAAATTTTTGACTTTATTGTCATAATGTAGGGGGTGTCAGGTTCGAACCCGCTCAGGGCCCAAATATTTTTTTTGTCTCCCATATTTTATTTTTTTAATTTTCCAGTAATGAATCATCCAAAAATAATTTATCAAAAAATTTACAACAATCAAAAATGACTTTAAAAGAATATGAACAAAAATTAATAATTGAAAGAGGAGGTAAATTAAGTGAAGATGAGGAGGAAGAGGAAGAAGAAAATGGAGAAATTTATAAGGATGAATTAACTAATGGACTGAATAAAAATGATTGGGAATTGAAAAATGAGTATTAATTTTTAATTTTTTGATTTTTAAATATTTTTTTCTGTTAGATTTAAGAAGGCTTTAATTTCTGATAATGAAAGTGACGATGATGGGGATTTGTTAAAAAAGAGGATAAAAACTGAGGAAGAAAAGGTTAATTTAATTTTTGTTTTTGACTGATGTGAGCTTACCTTTTTGAGGACAAAAAATTTTTGATATCTTTTTTGATAGATTTCTGGGTACAAATGGAAGAGCCAAACCATTCGTTTTTTCGATAAGGTCCAATAATTGGAATGTTAAAAAATTGGGTCGAGTATCGGATTTCGGATCGAAATCCTGGTTATAAATTTTTCGGGGTGAGGTCAATTCTGTTCGCTGATATCTTTTCGTCTACTTTCCCATTATTAGCGAAACAGAGTAGTAAACTGGGGATTAGACTAAAATCGGTATACTTTTTCTTTGACCCTATCGTCTCTTGGCCCTTTCGTTTCTTGATGAATAAATAAATTTTTTTAAGGCAAAAGAAGATGAAGATTTTTATGAATGGATTAAAGGGTCAAATCAAATGGAAGTTGAAGATAAACATTTGGTATAATTTTTTAATTTTGTTTAAAGAATTAATTTTTTAGAAAAAATTAAAAGAAAGATGGACAAAAAACGACCAAGAATTGGGTGAAGATGAACGTTTTTTGAGAGATTTTTTGTTAAATAAAAAATATTTGGGAGACTCGAAGGAAGAGGAAAAAGGGAAAGAAGAAAGGTTTTTTTGAAAATATTTTTTAAATTAAAAAATTTTTCTTTTGAAGAATTCCAACATATGAAGAAATTATTAAAGATGAACAAGAAGAGGATCTTGCTGACCAATTTGAACAAAAATATAATTTTAGATTTGAGGAACCTGATCAAGAATTTGTAAGAAAATTTTTTTAAATTTGATACTTGAAGGTTTTTTTTTATTTTTTTTGGAAATTTTTGGGGATTTTTTAAATAAAATTTGGCAAAATATGGGGTGTCAGGTTCGAACCCGCTCGGGGCCCAAATATTTAATTTTTACTTGTTCACTGTTTTATTTTTTATTTTAAACGAGGAAACGACCCAATATTAAAAATAATATTTTATATCCAACGTTGTTTTTATTTAAAAAATTTTTTTCTGAGCAATTTAGGAGGTGTCAGGTTCGAACCCGCTCGAGTCCGGATAATTTTCAGGACTATTTTTTAAATATTTCTATCAATTTAATTAATAGTTAAAACAATATCCACGGACAATAAATGAAGCATTAAGAAAAAAGGAATCAAAAAGACATAAAAAATTGGAAGAAGAAAAAGAAGCCAAAAAACGTAAAAGAACGCATATTGAAATGGTTGAAGTGCCTTTTCGTTATAGACAAGTTGCTCCAAATTCTTTTGGATTGAGTACTGATGAGGTTTTTTTAATTTTTTCTTTGGTTTGTAAGGATTTAAAAATTATTTTCCCTTAATGGGTATCGAACCTTTACCTATTTTGCGTTGGTGGACTAGTCGTAACCCACTACACCACACGAACTGGGGAAGGGTTTTCTTCAACTAGGGAAGGGTTTTCTTCATCAGATTTTTTCTACAAAATTTCTTCAAGATTTTCTCCAAAAAATTTTTCTTTGATGTTTTAAATGTTTTTTAATACTGAATTAAAATTATTTTCCCCTCTTGGGTATCGAACTTCTGCCTATTTGAGGATTGTAGCCTAAACGTAACCCACTACACCACACTTACTAGGAATTTTCAAAAAAAATTTTCCTAGCCTTTCTAATGACTAAAAAATCTTTAAAAAATTTTTTTCAAAGATTTTAAATTCTGATGATCGTTGTTTAAATGCATGGGCACCTCTCTCAAAAATTTGTCAATATCGCGATGATAATGAAGAACAAAGACAAATTTTATATTTTGAAAGGAAAGCTAAAAATATTGAAAAGAAGAGAAAAATTTTGGAAAAGAAATTGAAAAGGTTTTTGTTTTAATTTAAAGAAATTATATTTAAAAAATTAAATTTAGTGAAGAAAAATCTGAGGAAAAACAAGAAGAGAAGGAAGAGGAGAAGATGGAAGAGAATGATTTTGGGGAGGGTGAAGAAGAAGAGGAGTATCAACAAGATGAGGAGGATAAAGGGGAGGAATATCAGCAAGATGAAGAAGAGGAGTATCAACAAAATGATGTTGAGGATCATTTTCTTGATGCTGAGGAAGATGAAGAATCTTTTTCAAGTATTCCGAGTACTTCAAATAATATTGTTGGAATTAAATCAAAAACAACACTTAAAGGACAGTCTATTGAACAAGGAGGAGTAAAACAAGGTTTTTTAATTTAAAAATTTTTAATTAAAAATAAATGTGTGTGGGATAGAGTTTAGGGAGGAAGGGGTTTTATTAAGTAATGGATTTCTTTGGGTTAAGTTTAGTTTAGACTAGCCTCCGGTTTGATATGTACCCTGTTATTTATTGCTAAATGCCCGTCTCCGTCTACTTAGGCGCTTCACTTTCAGGTGTCTTTCCGATTAAGCTACTCATGGTATGCTCCTGCTTATAGACCTTAAATCCACGTCTAATTGTTTTTAAGCTGGGATCATTAGATGCGAAGGAAAAATTTAGGAAAAATTTTTTAACAAATAAAATTTGCTTTTTTAGAACCTATGGAATTAAATCAAGAAAAAATTGTTGAGAAATTAAATGAAGAACAACGAAAAAGCAAGAAAAGAAAATTCATGATAAATAAAAAAGAAAATAAAAAGAAGAACAAAAAACAATTTAATGTAACAGAATTAAATAAAGAAAGGCTTAGAGCTTATGGAGTTGGAACAATAAAAAAATTAAAAAGTATTCAATTTTGTAAAAAGATGGACGAGAAAGAGATGAGGAAGAAGGAGAAAATTGAAGAAAAGAAGATGGTGGGGGAAGAAAACGGAGAGGGAAGAAAAAAGAAGAAGAGGAAGAAGAAGAAAATGAAAGGGAAAAATGATGAAGGGAAGGGAGAAGAAAATTGAGGAGGAAAAACTAGAAGAGAAGACACTTTGGACGGATTTTTTGGGTCTGTTTTGTTTTTGGCTTTTCTCTAATGCTAGAGAAGAGGAAAAAAAGGTTAGTTTAATTTTTTAAATAATTTTAAACAAATTTTGGGAATAAATTAAAAAAAATTTATCATTTAGATACAATTAGGGTTGCCGTTTTCGGTTCGAGCCGACGTCGGTGCATTTTTTCGAGCTTGGTTTTTTCGATTCGGTTCGTTTTCAAGCTGAAAAGCCTCGGCTCACTGGATCTTTCGAGTTTCGGTTCGAGCGAGCTGGCAATCCTAAATACAATATTTCAAAATCTCTCAATATTTTATGTTGTTGTTGTTCTTTTTTGCCTTGTTATAATTTTTATAAAAAAAGATTTCTAAAAACAAAATTTTCTAATGGGGGAATTTTTGAAAATTGGTTGCCTAACTTGTCAGATTTTTAAAAAACTTTAGATTTTTTTATTTTCAAAATAAGTTAATTTTCGTCAAAAAAATATTTTTAAAAGAAAATAAATTAAAGCAAAACTTAATAAAAAATACGTAGAGTATCAATCAATTTTTTCGTGATTTCTTTGGTTTTGGATTTCCACCATATTTTTCTTCAAGATGAGCAAGAAAATCATCCTTAAGAAAAAAATATTTTTTAGGCTTAAAATTTTAGTTTAAAAAAACCTGTTGTTTCTCTCTTTTCTTTTGATTAGCCAAAATTAAAGATCCCAAATCTCCTTTTCCTTCTCCATTTTCTTCTTCATCATCCTTACTCCCTCCAGCACCTCCCAAAGCACGCATTTCTTCAACAACTTTTTCTGCTCGTTTACAAGGGAACATTTCGAACTGTGACCAAAAATTTTTAAATAAAAATTATACCATCGTGTAGAGCGTGGTCGAATACGTATTGTAGTACCCGGCTTTTCTTCCCCTGACCCCCATTTCGAAAAGTTATAGGGCTTCAAAGTTTTAGACTTTTGGAGCGGTTGAGTCGCCCTGACTTTTTTATTATTTCTCTTTCTAAAGAGAAAAATGAGACTCGCTTTCTCCATTTTTCCCTTCCTCTTCTTTTCCTATGTTGGTTAAAGAAAGAGAAAGGAGGAGAGAAAAGAAAAGGAAAAGAGGCATCTCTGCCTCCTCCTCTTTCCTCTTTAATTGACATTAGCTGCAAGACAGAGACGCCTCTTTTCCTTTCATTTTCTCTCCTCCTTTTCTCTTTCTTTAACTAATATTGGAAAAGAAAAGGAAAGGAGAAAAGGAGGATGGGAGTCTTATTTTTCTGCTTAATAAAATAAAACTCTCTCTTTATGAGGGCGACTCAACCGCTCCAAAAGTCTAAAACTTTGAAGCCCTATAACTTTTCGAAATGGGGGTCAGGGGAAGAAAAGCCGGGTACTACAATACGTATTCGACCACGCTCTACACGATGGTATAATTTTTATTTAAAAATTTTTGGTCACAGTTCGAAATGTTCCCTTGTTAGCTTCATATGCAGCTCTTTTCATTCGTCTAACACGTGAAATTGGTTTTTCATTTTTGTATTTTGGAAGTGAAGGTAATTCTCCAAGTTCGATAAAATGACGAATAATTTCGCGAATTCCTTTAAAAAAGAGGGAAATTTTAGGGGGGAATTTTGAAAAATTAAAGTTGAAACCTTGTTTTTAGATACTCCTAAAAATAGAGCACACCTCTATCTAAGGTATGGGTTTTTTTTAATTTAGTTAGCCGTTGGATGGTGGGATATCTGCCAGATCGATACCTCCCTTCCACCCCTTACTTTAAAATACCTTCATACGCTTTCTCAGCCCCAAGCAGGGATGTCACGGGGTTGAGAAAAAGGTCAAGTCTGGTATCGGTTGGGTCTTCAGAATTTTCTTCGAATTGGGCTCAAGTCTAAAAAACCGAGTTTCAGATTTCGAATAATTCGTGGCATCCCCGGTCTCAAAGGTCTAAAATGAGGTCTTTGACGACTGTATTTTAAAAAATTAATCTAAAAAATTTACTAAACTGTCTTCATTCTGAACATCAGCTCCAATAACCGTTTCCAATATTTTGTCCATATCCCCTTTATATTTAACATAAGCATTTTTAACATCATTCATTTCTTGTTGAGATCCTCTAAATTTCTTTAAATATTCTTCTATATCTTCCTTTGTAACTTTTTTAAACATTCCACGCCAAACAGAAAACCAATCTTTGGAATTTTCTTCGTCATCGTCATCAAAGTCAAATTTTCCTTGAAATTTTTTTTGATTTTTAGATGGCCGAACCTTACTATATGATACCCCAAGGAACAGAACTAGCTACTACGTGATAGATAAGTGGTAAACCCTCACTTCCCTCAAGTTAAGGGACCACTTATTACAAGATATGAGTTTTCCAACTCCGAAGAGTGGGCCCAACGATTTTTCAGTTTTAAGGGGATGAGGTCCGTCGATTTTTCTGTTCCACAGAGAGGAGGTGTCTGACTAAACTTTTATTTAAACAAAACCTGTTTCCATATAAACCGAACGCTTCTCAGAGTCACTCAAAATATTATACGCCTTGCTAAGTATTTGAAATTTTTTTGTAGCCACTTCTCTTTCCTCATCACTATAAATATCTGAAGCAGCAAAACGATCAGGATGCCAAAGAATTGATTGTTGATAATAAGCTTTCTTGACTAAAAATTTTTTTTTCTACAAGAGAAGGTTCGCTTTGAAGCTTACTTTTGGCTGAAGTTAAATTTGTAGTAGTCCTTTCCAAATTTAAAATAATGAAGAGATCTTTGGTACCAAATATACGTAGACAATCGTTAGAAAAAGTCATTCTTTTCTTAATTAAAATTTAAAAAATAGTGAAGCTAGATTTGATAATGCTTTAAAAAAGGTTATCTTAGAAACAAAAAATCAAAACAATAAAAAGAGGATTTGTAAGAGAAATTCAAAGCCAAGCGGGCTTGGAAAAATGCCCTCTCAAATACTTTTCATAATAAATTTATTTTAAAATTTATTTGGCATTATGTTTTTCTTAATATTGGTTAGAGTGAAAAAACAGAGAAATAGTACAGAATTTAGAGAAATATAATGTGCGAGAAAAGTTTTTTGTCTCTCCCATATTCTGCCAAAACATATTTTGCCAATAAGGGCAAAACTCGCGTTTTGTAGATAAATTTGTTGGCAAAACGTCGTTTTTGGCCTTATTGGCGAAATGTAGAATTGACGAAATATGGTAATATTGATCTTGGAAATTTTTAAAGAATTTTTTTATTTTTCGAGGTTTTTCTTTATTTTTCTTTTGAATTTTTAAATTTTTTTTTTAATTTTACAGAAAATTTTACCTATCTATTCTGACTTAATTTCTATTTTCTACAATGTATACACCAAGATTTCCCAAATCTGTCAAAGAAAATATTAAACCGCGCGGAGTTTTGGGTATTTTTTTACAAAATTTTTCAAATAAATTTTCTAAATTTTTTCAGTTCGTGAAATTAATTCTTTAAATAATGAATGGAGAGAAGCATCTTCTTCTAATGAAAGTCAAATTACTTCAATTTTAAAATTTCGTGACCAAGTGAAGCAAATTTCTAAAGAAGAATTGAAGAAACAACTTGATGATCGTTTTTATCGTTTGGTTAGTTTAAAAATTTTTTTTATGTCATCGGGCAATTTTTAGGTTATTACCTAGATTTTTTAGAGTTAAAACTGAATTTGGACAAAGGCTTGCATTTTTTGTTTCAAGGGTTTAGTTTCGGTTCTCAGAGTTCATTCCGACTGGGCCTGGTTATTAAACAGACAACCCCTACATGCTATGGATTAGAATTAAGCTACAATCTAAAGATATTTTAAAATAATTGCGGAATGAAAATTTTAGGTGAAATAGGAAAATAAGTTTCACGAATTATTCATTTTTAATTTTCATCAAAACAAAATTTTAGACCAAAGCCGATATCGTATTTGAAGATGATAAGATGGAGACATGAAAAAATGGAGATGGAGATGGAGATTTTTTTAATCTCAAGGAACTTGATGTCACTGGTTTTCTGTTTCGAACCGACAACCTTTATTCAATATGTAATTTAATTTTTTCCCTATATAAAATATTTGAATAAATTTTTTTTATATTTTCTCGCAAAGTTTTTGTTAAAACTTTGGATATTTTGTCTAATTTTTATTTGATTTTTTAGTTGAAATTTAATTTTTTTCTTTGAAAATAATGGATAATTTGCTTTCAAATCCTTCAACAATTATTGATGCAACAAATTCAATTAGTGGACAACAGGGAAGGACATTTTCTGAGCTGATTGGTTCAAATCCATTATTTACTGGAGGTGCTGGATTAGTTGGTGTTGGTATAATTCTTTCATATTTTCGAAGATTATCTTTAATTGGCAAAGAATTGTTGAAAAGAAAATTTATTTCAAGATTGGAATTGGATAATACTGACATGTTTGTTTTTTTAAAGTTTTTTGGGAACTGGGACACTCTTAGGGAATGTTAAAAATTCAACTGTGTGTAATTTTAAGATTTTTTGGACAGTTTAATATTTTTAAAAAGAGGCACAGGTCGCAGGCTTGATTTCCGTTGTTATTGATTTTTAGGGGACATTTTTAGAGGTTGAGGATAATCTCCGCAAAACTACCATTACCACGAGGTCACAGGTTCGATTCCTGTAGCTGACCAAACTGTTGCTTTGCATAACTCTTTCTGGTGGCAACTACCAGTAAACTGGCGACTCGATTCCTGTAACTCGCAGGCCTGCTTCTGTTAGGAGTAGGGTTGCCGTTTTCGAACCGGGCCGACGTTCGAGTTCTTTTTGGGGCTCATTTTTTTCGGACCGGACCGGTCGAATCTTTTTCAGGCCAAAAATCGAAGCCCGATTCGATCTTTCGAACCGAACCGGGCCGGCAACCCTAGTTAGGATTATTTTATTGTTAGTTAAAAATCCAGCTGACAGAGTCTAATTAAATAAATATTCTTTAAAAATTGTTTACTTAAAAATTTTTTATTTTTTTAAAGAGCCTTTCAATGGGTTTTGGATTATATAAACAAAAACAGCAAAAGACGTACAAGTATTTTAACAGTCAATACTTCCCAATTATCTGATGATTCTGGACGTTTAAAAACAAGTTTTATGTTTACACCTGGAAGAGGAACACATTATTTATTTTTTAAAAATCGTTGGGTACAAGTTAATAGGGAAAGACAAAACCAAACGATAAAAAAAGATGGAATGACTAGAACAGCATTAGAAGTTGTTTCTTTAACTACTTTTGGTATTTTAATTTTTTTGACTTTTAATTTTCTCTTATTTCTGGGGTTAGTTTTCAGACCGTCGATCATTTTGATATGGACGGACCTCACTCTGTATTATAGACACAAGACAAGACTGGATAACCTATAGCCGTTAGTAGAGGGAATTATTTAAACGTTACCTACGCATATCGAGGGTTTGTGGACTGAAGCTTCCTCCTCGAAATGTGGCAAAGGGAAGAGGTGAAGGATGATCTAAAAAGTGAAAGTTTTTTCGGCTATGACCGTTCAAGTCCAAAAAATTGTCGGCTGCGGCACTGAATACAATTTCTCACATCCTAGTGGCCTTTTCGATAGCCTCTTGGATTTTTTTAAGTATTTTATTTAAGGTGGCAATCCAACATTTTGGAAAAGTTTTCTCGAAAATGCTGCTAAAGATGCCCTTTCTCAAGTATTTTTTAGCTATAATTTTTTTTATTTACTCAAATTTTTTTTCAAGTTGGAAACAGGACTTTGTGTTTATATTCCTCATGGAAATTCATGGCAACGTTTGGGTGCTCCAAGAAATAAAAGACCAATAGATTCGGTTATTTTGGATATTGGAGTGAAAGAAAGATTGCTTGATGATATTTCTAATTTTTTTACTTCACAGCAATGGTAATTTAAAATTTTTTAATAATTTTTAATTAAATAAAAATAAATATCCCTGGGCGGGTTCGAACCTCCGTCCCCTTTTTTTCCTATTTCTTTTGCATTTTTTATTTGGGTTGCTATTTTTCAAATTTAAATGTTTTCTGAGTTCTATGTTTAATAATTTAACAAATAAAAATAAATTCCACTAAGTGGACTCGAACCCGCACCCCCTTTTTCAGGGTGCTATACCACTTAACCAAAATGCCTAAATTTTTTATTTTTTTAATAAGCCAATGTTTTTTTTCAATATTTCCAGGTATATTGATCGTGGAATTCCTTATCGTCGGTATTTTTTAAATTTTTTCTTTTAATTTAATTTATTTTTCAAGTGGTTATCTTTTACATGGCCCACCAGGAACAGGCAAAAGTAGTTTCATTTCAGCTTTAGCAGCTCTATATGGACACAATATTTGTATGTTGAGTTTAAGTGATAGATTAATTGATGATGCAATGCTTAATCATTTAATGCATAATGCACCTTTAAATGTTAGTAAAACAAAAGGTTTTTTCTTTTGAATTTTTTTAGTTTTTATTTTAATTTTTTTGATGGGATTTTTATGGTTTAGTGTAAAAGAAACATTTTTTCAATTAGAAAGTGGTATCCATGAGGGTTGTTATTAGATTTCCCAGGAACCAGCAACCCACCGGTTTCGGTTATGGCCGATTTTCGGCCCCTCGTTTTCGGTTTAATTAATGTGTCGTGAACAAACTTGTACCCATATGATCAATTTGTCGCCAAGAAAAATAGGCGCAAATCATTTTTGGATAACCGGAACTAGGGTTGGCAATGTTGAATAATTGGAATTGTAAAAAGTCAGAATATTCGGAAATTTTTTGTATTGTTATCTGTTCTTTTTGTATGAAAATTTCCCAAAAATTGCCAACCTTAACTGAATGAAATTGATTAATACAATTGACAAGTAATATTTTTATAGAGTTTCCTAGTCATCGAAGATGTTGACAGCGCATTTGGAGGACGACATGATGGTGTAATTCAACATAATTCTGTTTATGATGGTCTTAGTCGTGTTACAATGTCTGGATTGTTAAATGCAGTGGATGGGGTTTTTTTAATTTTTTTTTAATATTTTGAAAATTTCTGTTTGAAGGTAGCTAGTGCAGAAGGCGGTAGAGTTCTTTTTATGACTACAAATCATATGGAAAGGTTAGATGCTGCATTAATTAGGCCTGGACGTGTAGATGTTTCACAACATTTTGGAAATTGTACTCCTATTATGTTTGAACAGGTTTTTTTTCAGATTTTTCTTTTTAATTTTGGAGTGGAGGGAATTTCAAGGTTGGAGACGATAGGTGAGGCGTGTCCAAAAATTTTTGAATAGGAGAAACTAGCGGGTCTCATGCTGGGTTGGTACGAGGGAATTTGGTGGATTTAGAGTGTCAACAGGATTTTTTCATAGTGTTTCGCGTAACCCGCGTAGCCAGAAGCTCGCTTTACACGCCTTGGATGTTGTGGGTTGAGAGTTAGGGTCTAAAAAATTTTTGAGAGTAAGGATTTAGCGGGTATCAAGTTGGGTCAGTACATGGAGGTTTGGTGGATTGAGAATGGTAACAGGAGTTTTCTTCCTATTGTTTCGGGTAACCCGTGATTCTGGAGCTATTAGCTCGCTGTATACGCCTTAGATATTGTGGGAGTTATTTACTTGTTGTACTAAAAGATTTTTTCGCCCTCTTAAAAAAATATTTTTTAAAGATGTTTAAACGTTTCTTTGAAAATGTGCCAGATGTTCTTTGCTCAAAATTTCGTGATAAAATGCTTTCTATCGGTATTGAATGTTCACCAGCTACAATACAAGGACATTTACTTAATTTTAAAAAACAACCTGAATTGGCAATTGAAAATGTTGGGAAATTAAAAGAATAGACTTTTATTTTTGGAAAAATTTGTTGAATTTTTATAATTTATTGGTTAGGCTTTTTTGTTATTTTTTTTAGATTCTTAATTTTTTTTCCTAGGCAATTTATAAACATTATTGTTTTAATAATTTTTTAATTTAATTTTTAAAAAAAATTTCTATTTTTTGAATAGATACTTTTCTTAACTTAAAAAAATGCGTACCAGGGGATGTCACGGGATGCCTTAAACCTAGACTTTTTAGGACCCGAAATCCGATCCTAAGAAAATTTTGAAAACCCCCACCCGAACCCCGACTCGGCCCGACTTTTTTTCTCAACTCTTGACATCCCTATATGCATACCTAATTAATTTTTCTGTTAATTATCATAGTTTTATTAGTAAAATGACAAGTATTGTTCAATCAGCACAACCTTTATCTGAAGTAAAGAAACTTAAAACATTTGATTTGGCAACAAATTTAGAAACTTCAATTGTTGGAAATCAAAATACTAAAACTGATGATGAAGTTTATGATACTGCTTATCTTACAGAAAATGATGGTTTAATTGCTGTTGGTTCTAATACAGAAAATTTGTTAATATTAAACGTGAAGAATGGGAAGAGGAATTATGCTAAAGGTTTTTAAGTTTTTGTTTAAAAATTTCATTTTTTGGGAAACGGACCTCTTCTTCACAGTTCAAATTAGAATATTGCTTTCGGGGGGAGGGGGTATCGGATTTGGCGGGGTAGAGCCTTCGGGTAGGGGGTTTTTGCCTAAAAATTCGTCGGGGGACGGGTGCCACCCTTGTTTAAACATGAAGCGCAGATTTGACTCGAAACCCAATCGAGAAATCTTTTTCCCTCTCCAATTTTTTCTTTTCCTTCCCAATTCCATTTTATTTTGCCAACAGTTGCTCAAAAAGGATTAATTTTTATAGTTTTGGAAGGAAGGAAATCTGGTACATTAATATGATGAAACTTGGGGAGGAAAAAAGGGGCTCGTAAACGATAATTCTATCTTCTTTTTTAATAAAAGGACATTCTCAAAGCATTTTATGTGTCGATTCTCCAATTTGGAGCAATTCCTTATTAGCCTCTGGGTCGAAGGATAATTCAATTATTCTTTGGAATGTTCAAAAAAATGAAAAAGAAGATTTAATGGAAGTGGATGATGAAGAAAATGAGGAGGGTGAAGAGAATGGTAAAAATAATATTTTGGTTAAACAAATGGCTATAGCTTCTGGACATACACATTCAGTTTCAAGGTTGTTATTTTTGTTGACCTTATGGGTGAGAATAGGGTTGTCAGTTTCTAATTGAACCGTACGGCTTAGGATTTTTCTGCTCTTTCGAGATATCCGAGGATTTTTCGAAAGAGGCAATCCTACTATAGAAAATAAATAGTCGGATAATGTTAGAAAATTATGTAAACATTACTGAATCAAAAACTTGTGATTGTGTAGCCGCTGCTTTGTTTTCTGGATGAGTACTTCTTAACAAGGATCACTTAAGTATTTTTTAAATTATCCGGTAGCCTATCTTGAATGCTTGGGGCTGATTTAGGTGTACGTTAGGGTTGTTTCTATTCTTTGAAGAAGTACTCTTCCTGACTTTGTAATTTTTTTAAACATACAAGAACGTGTCCTTTCCAATAATTTAGAGAACTAACATCCTTCAAGGCCCTTTCTAATTTTTCAAAAAAAAATTTTCAGTATTTCATTTTCCCATTCAAACAAGCCACCATTCCTTGTTAGTGTTTCTCATGATACTACACTAAAATTGTGGCCTCTTGTTGATTTAATGGTTAAACAAGAAAAATTGGAAGAAAATGAAGAAAATAAATTGTAAGAATTTTCTAAATATTTTTCAAAAAAACTTTTTTCTTCAAAAAAAGACTTAAACTTTCTGCTTCAACAACAATTGTTGCCCACACAAAAGATATAAATAGTGTTGATGTTAGCCAAAATGATAAACTTTGTGTTACTGCTTCAATGGATAAAACAGCAAAATTGTGGCATATAAATCTTAAAACTATGGAATTGGCAAATGCTGGAATATTAAGTGGGCATAAACGAGGAGTTTGGTGTGCAAGATTTTCAAAGAATTTACAGGTTTTTTTATATTTTTTTTGTCTATTATTGGGCGGGAGAGTAAGTAGGTTGGATTTTTTGGTTTCTTGAGTTCGGGCCTGGGTTGGGAAAAAAAGACGGATAGGGTTTGGAAAGGGTTCCGGATCTGGTTTCGAGTTTTGGTCGAATTTTTGAGCTTTTGTTGGTAGAGGATGAAGCGATGAGGAAATTCATAGGGACATGTGTGTGTAGGATTGGGTAAAGAGATCAAGGTAGGGAAATTGACAAGAAATTAGTTTCGAAGATTTTTTTAATTTTTGAGGAGAGGAGTTAAAATAGGTGTTTACACAAGGTTTGCAAGCATTTAAGAAGAGTGGTGATGTGATGGAGGATCAATCCTCCAATGGAGTTGTTAGGATCGATCGATCTCCATCGATCCTCCAATCCAATGAAGTTATTGAGGAAGGAATTCGGAATATGTAGAAGGATTTAAGAGATTCTTTAATCCTTTTGGGGATAGGAGATAAACGTAGGGGAGACCCACTTCTTTTAAAATAATTTAATTGCCCTTTTAGAGCATCTAAACTTCATTTTTTTCAAGTTAGTAGCAACATGTAGCGGTGATTGTACAATAAAAATATTTTCATTATTAGACAAAAGTTGTATTAAAACACTTGAAGGGCATCAATTTGCAGTTTTGTCAATTCTTTTTATTGAAAATTCGTCAAAATTAATTTCTGTTGATGGAGGAGGAATTTTAAGATTGTGGAATGTTAAAAAAGGAATCTGTGAATGTGTGGAAGAAGGACATAATGAAAAGATTTGGTCTTTAAGAGAATTACCCAATGATATTAATTTACAACAAAAAAGCGAGGTTTTAATTTCTTATTAATTTTATAATCCTAGGATTTGTTTTAAATCGAAAATTAGATTAAATAAAAATTAATTTCCCTGAGCGGGGTCGAACCCACGACCCCGATTTTTTCAATGACTCTTTTTTGACGTGTTATTTTATTTTCAATAATTTTAAATTTAATTTTGTGGTTGTTTTATAATTTTTGAATTGATGGTTACAAAAAATAATTAAATAAAAAATAATTTCCCCTGAGCGGGGTCGAACCCACGACCCCCCCCCCTCCATTTTTCATAACCCGCCATTTTTCCATGTGAAATTTTATTTTTTGAAATTCTAAATTTAATTTTTTTAATTTTTTGTTTATTTTAGCATTTTTTGATTATTAGATTCCGAAAAATGATCAATTAAAAATTAAGTTTTCCCTGAGCGGGGTCGAACCCACGCCCCCCTCCACCACTTAAAAATTTTTCAATTTTTTTTCTAGGACATTGAAGAAGAAACTGATGATTTAAATAAATTATCCGATTCATATTGGATTACTGGTGCTGCAGATGGGTTAATTACTATTTGGAGAGATAATACAAAAATTATGAAAGCTTTAACACTTAAAGAGGCAACTAAAAAAATTACTGATCAACAAACACTCTCCAATTTATTACAACAAAATCATCTTTTCGAGGCTTTGCTTTATACGCTGGATTTGGATTTGCCTTTTCAGTTAGTTTTTCTAAAATCGGTGATTCTTCGGGTTCGTAGCCCTCCCTTCTTTTTCTGACCATTTTGAGCTTTTCCCATTTTAGTTTTGGCCATTTTTGGAATTTTAAAAATTCCAGAAAATTTAATTTTTCCTCTAATTTTCCCCTAATTTTCCTTAATTTTTTCTCTATATTCCAGATGTCTAAAAATATTGCAACGTCTTTCCTCTGATATTGTAGCCACCTCGGAGAATGATCAATTACACAAATTAATTAATATAATTAAAAAGTTATCAAAAATTCAATTATCTGCATTACTTGGATATTCAACACAATGGAATACAAATAGCAGAACATATTCTGTAAAGATTTTTAAAATTTTCAAAAAAAATTTTTTGAATTTTTTAAGGTTGCCCAGCTAGTTTTAAATTGTGTTTTGAGGGCTATACCCCCAGAAGAGTTGATGGAATTACCCAATATAGAAAATATTGTACAACGATTTTTGCCTTATTCATTAAGGTTTTTTTAATTTTAAAAATTTTTCTTTAAATTTTTTAGACACCAAGAACGAATAAAAAATTTTCGTAAAAGTGCTGCTCATATAGACTATATGTTTTCTTCTATGCGTTTAAATGAAATTTAAAAGGTTTTTGATTAATGTTGGTCGTTGGTTAAGTGCGTACGCGCTAGATTATTTGGGTAATTATTTATTTGATAGGTCTGGGTTCGAATCCAACTGGGTCCGGATAATTTTTAATTTGTTTTGTATGCACTTTTTACCTCAAAAATTGATTATATTTTATGTTGTTATTGTTATATAAATTTTATTTTGTTTTTTTAAATTTTTTTAAAGCATTTTATTTGCTATTAATATTTATCTATTTAATTTACTTTAATTTTTTCCAAAAAAATTTTTTTCCTTTTGAAAAATGACTTCAAGAAAGAACGAGAAAAATGTTCATGATCAACCTGTTGATGAAGAAATGCCTCCTTTGGAAGATATTGATGATGAATTGATTGAAGAGCCACAAATAAATGAGGAGGAAGATGGGGATGGAGATAATGATGGATTTATTTTGGCTAAAAAGGTTTTCTTTGAAATTTAAAAGAATTTTTTAAGAGAATTTTTTCCATTTTTAGACTAACAAAAAACGCAAACTTTTCAAACTTTCTACTGATGCCGACCAGCCTGATGCTAAAAAAGGAAAGGATAATGTTAACTGGGAGATGCGGAAGGTTTCAGTACCTCCACATCGCTATACTCCGTTAAAGAAGAATTGGTCAAAACTTGTAGCGCCGATTATTAATGAATTAAAAATGCAGATTCGGTTAGCTTATTTTTGTTTTTTAATTTGGTATCTGGGCAAAAGTAAAGGTATTTTTCTTAAAATGGCTCCTACACCCTTTGCTATATGTTAAGCAATTTTAAGACCTTGTTTTCTTCGTCCATTCTATGGGTGAAGAAATAAATACTCCGGACGGGTTCGGATCAATCGAACATTTTTAAGCTTTCCTAAGACCTTTAGATTAATATAGCCAACCTCGGGGTGAAGAAAAAATAATAAAAACAAATTGCCCTAGGATATCTGGGCAAAAGAAGAAGGCTCGAACCCGCGACCCCCATATCTTCTCTTTTTACCATCAAAAATTCCTGTTTTTATTTATTTAAAAGAATTTTTTAAGTTATAATCTGCGAACTCGAAATGTGGAAATTCGATGTCCAAATGCTGATGGAAACAAAACACATTTACAAAAGGCTGCTGATTTTGTACAAGCATTTTTGCTAGGATTTACTATTGAAGATGCTGTCGCTTTAATTCGTTTTGATCATATGTTTATGGAAAGCTTTGAAATTAATGACGGTTTACTTTTCTTTAAATTAAAAAATTTTTTCCTCGAACGGGCTCGAACCCGCGACCCCTCTTCCCTAAACCACTTAACCAAAGTATACAAATTTACTTTTAAAGTCAAAACTCTTCGTGGTGACCACCTCAGTCGAGCAATTGGCCGAATTGCTGGAAAGGATGGCCGTGTTAAAACAACAATTGAAAGCGTTACACAAACGAGAATTGTTTTGGCAGACGATAAAATTCATCTACTTGGAGCTTTTAATAATTTAAAAATTGCGAGACACACAATATGTTCTTTAATTATGGGTATATTTTTGATTTCTAATTAAATAAAAATAAATTTCCCCAAACGGGTTCGAACCCACGACCCCCACCCCCCATTTTTCTGCTCTTATTTTTTCTGAATTATTGACATTTAAAAAATTTTTAAATTTATTTTTGGATCCATTTTGGATTTTTAATTCTTAAAATTTAATTTTGCAGAAAATAAAAATAAATTTCCCCGAACGGGTTCGAACCCACGACCCCCATTTTTCTCTTTTATTTTCTATCTTCTATCTTTTTACATTCTAAATATTTTTAAATTTATTTTTTGATCCATTTTTGGAATTTTTAATTACCGAAATTTAATAATTTTCAAAATAAAAATTAAATTTCCTCAAACGGATTCGAACCCTACACCCCTCTCCCCTAATTTTTCATAATTAAACCACTTAACCAAAATATTTAATAATTATTTTTTTCTAATATTTAGGTACTCCAATAAACAAGATTCACGGGAATTTGAGAAGTTTGGCAAGTAGATTGGCAGAACAACTTTAAAAAATAAAAATTTTTTATGTTGACAAGGTGATTTGTTAAATAAAAATATTGTTGAATAAATAAAAAAAAGGTTTTATTTTAAGCACTAATAAAAATATTTATTTTCTCACACACACAATTAATTAAATTAAATAATAATTTTAAAATTCTAAAAATACATTTTCTTTTAAAAATAGAAAATAATTACAGGCCAAAAATAATTTTAAATTAATATTAAAATTTGCGTATATATAACTTTTTTAAGTGTTTTCTAAACAACAAGAAAAAGGAAGAAATAAACTAGAGAAATAACCGGATTTTAATTTAAAAAAAAAGAAAATAGGGGAAAAGAGATCTAAAACAAAATATATTTTTTAGTAATTTATAGAGAGAAAGGAAAATTTTTTTTGAATATTTTTTGATTAAACTAATCCATTACCAGTAGATTTTTTAGAAAATTGAAAGAAAAAATAATAAATTTAAAATAATGTACCGTATTGCCTCTAATAGAATGCCCCTCTTTTAATTAAAAGCCCCCTTCTCCCTCCTAATAGACTGAAAAATTGAAAGACAACATTCTCCCCCTTTAGAGAATTATTGATAAAAAAGAAAGCCCCCTCTCCCCTTTAATAGAATGCCCCTCTTTAATTACCCCTCTCTCACCCTCTCTAATAGACTGACTCTCTAGAGAATGATTGATTATGTAATAGAAGGCCCTCTCTTCCTTCTTCCAATAGAATGCCCCCTCCTTTCAACAGAATGCCCCTCCCTAATTAAAAGCCCTCTCTAATTGATTGATAAATCATCTCCCCTTTTCCTTCTTACAATAGTTTGCCCCCTCTTTCTTAATGAATTGCCTCCCTCTTTGGAAAGTAATCGAAAAAATGTCTGGGCATTCAATTAGAGGTGCTACGGCATATTTTATAATTTTTTAGAGTAAAAGGAATGATTTTAAAGTAATTTAAAAATTTAATTTTTTAATGGCCACACGTTCATTTTTCATTGTTGTTGTTGGGAAACTTGATTAAATAATGAAAGTATTGAATTTATACAAAATGGATTATTTGAAGAATTATTCAAATTACTTGAAGAAGTAGACAATTCTTGTGAAGGAATAATTGTTTGTTGTTGAATGATTAACGGATTAATTAAATTGGTTAGGGTAACATTGTTTGTTAATGTTTGTTGTGTTAGTGGTGGTGTGGAGAAAAGCACTGGAGTTCTGAAAAGAATGGAAAAATGAGTGGGTTTACATTTTTAAAATATTTGGACGTTTTGTACTTGTGACATTTTGAATTCTGGACCTTTTGAGTTTTCTTTAATTAAAAGCCCCCCCTTCTAATAGACGGCCCCTCTAAAGAATTTTTACTTTTGGACATTTTTAACTTTTGACATTTTGAAATTTGACGTTTTGCAAATTGGGCATTTTTTAATTTTGGCATTTTGTACTTGTGACATTTCGTAATTGACGTTTCGCAATTGTGACATTTTGGGGTCTGGACATTTTGTAATTTGGACAATTTTAAATTTTTGGATGTTTTGTACTTGTGGTACTTTGAAATTGTGACAATTTGGACTTTTGGGTTCTGGATAGGGTTGTTGGCGACCGGTTTTAAAACCGGAATTTTTGAAATTTTTTGCCAAAAATTAACCGTTTTTAAAAAATTTTAAAAACCGAAAACCGGAAATTTGTGAAAATAAGTGATTTTATTTAAAATTCCCCCAAAAATAAACCGGTATTTGCCTAAAACTCAAAACCGAAAACCGGGTTTCTAAAATTCAGATTAACCGAAAACCGGGGGTACCGGTTAATAACCGGTCGCCAACAACCCTAGTTCTGGACATTTTTAAATTTTGACATTTTGAGGTCCCCAAATTTTTCAAAAAAATTCTACCTGTCACTTAATTGTTGTATCCCTTCAGAAGCAGTAGCCCTCTTCCTGTTGTCATCCTCATTTTCTTCTTCAGTTTCCATAGCTTTTGAATTTTCTGCCAAATTATTATTAAGTCTCATAAAATTTAATGTTTGAAGGGTTGACTGTAAATTTGTTTGTTGTGTTGAATCAAAAGGTTGTTGTGGAGGTTGAATTAAATTAATAGGGGGAATTTGGGCTAATAAAGAAGTTGGTAATGAATATAGCCATTCATAAATTAAATTGGAAGAGGAAGAAGAAGGAGGGGAAGAGTTGGTGGAAGATGAAGGAAGAGGAAGAGAAGAAGGAGGAAGTTGGAAAGGAAGAGGAAGAAGAGAAGGATTTTGTGAAGGGGGTGAAGAGGTGTTGATGGTGGAAGATGAAGGAAGGGGAAAGGTGGAAGAAATAGGAAGAGGAGGAAGAGGAAGAGAAGGATTTGTAGTTGAAGGAAGAAGAGAAGATGGAAGAGAAGGAAGAAGAGGAAGTTGTTGCTGTTGTTGTTTTTGTTGCTGTGTATTATTAACTAAAGTAGCTATTTGTAAAGGAGTTAATGGTTGTTGTTGTAAAGGTATAGGTTGGGAAGCAACAAAAATATGTTGTGAATTAATTGAAGATGATGATTGTTGCTGTTGCTGCTGTTGGTGTTGGGAAGCTATAGAATTTAAATAGGCAGAAATTAAATTGGAAGTAATCTGTGGTGTAGTGGGTTGCGGTTGGGGTTGTTGGGGGAGAAGAGGATTAAATTGACGTGGAGTAGAATTATTTAAAAATAAATTTAGAGAAGCTTGTTGTTTTTGTTGTAAATTTATTTTTGAAGAAAATTGATCTTGAAAATGTTGAAAATTTGTTGTTTGTTGGTGTTTTTCGAGACTCAAACGTCCCCCTCCAAAATTTAATTCTTTTCTTGATTCAATTAAAAAATTGTTTGAATTATTCCATTGTTTTCTAGGTTTGTATTGTTGTCGAGGCTTTTTTTGTTGTTTGGTTAAAATTATTTTTGTGTTGTTTATTTCTTTGTTTATTCCAATTAGAGGACTTGAGGAGGAATTCAATATTTCACAAAATTCTGTATCGTCGTCAATACTTCCGTCATCTGTTCCTCCTTCACGTGCCTTCTTTTGGCGACGTCTTAGTTTGATTTGGGCGGCCATTAGACGACGTCTACAAATATTTTGAAGTTTTAACTTGAAAATTCGAGGAAAGGGACATTTGAGTCTGAGAAAATTTTTTGTTTCCGAGGGCCACAACTGTCTTAATTCTTAACCGATTTGAATGATTTTTGTATCAATCGAAAGCTGTGAATGTAGGGATCATTTTTTCTAAGAGGATTGATATGATCAGATCAATGTAAAAAAAGTTATGGCCGAATAATTGATAGAAATCGTGATTTTTGATAGTTTTGTGATTGTAACTTTTTATGAGAGGGTTTGATCGGACCGATCATTTTAGGTAAAATAATCTACAGATCCAGAGCTTTCGAATGGTATATAAATTATTCAAATCGGTTAAGGATCAAACAAGTTATGGCCCAAAATAAGGCCTCAAGACGGAAATGTCCCCCACCAATTATAACTAAAAACTCACCTCTCTTCCACTAAACCACACTTTTCACATTCACAAATTCGAAAAGGGCAGACTGCCTAAAATCAAAAATTTTTATAAAATTTTCTAAAATTTCTCTCCCTTATACCTTTTTATGTCCCCTCAAAGCACTTTCTTTTCCATGTGCCGTACATCTCGCACACATTGGATTTCTTGCTTTAGGCCCCAAATTAATTCCTCCCATCAATCCTTTTAATTTTCCTTCTCCAGGTTTTCGAGTATTTAAAGCGTTGTTTAACCGGCGACGTTTTTCGACCATTTGACATTCTGCACATTGACAATCTCTGTAGCGGCAAAATGGTTTGTGGCCTTTACGTGGATGTTCCTAAGAATTTTTTGGGATTTTAATTTTTGGTGTTTCGTATATTTATTGAGGAAGTTCTTCAAAAAACCAAATTTTTTCGGAAATGGACATTTGAGTCTGGAAATTTTTTTGTTTCTGAGGCTCGTAACTTTTTTAATACTTGGCCGATTTGAACAATTTATGTATCAATCGAAAGCTCTTGATCTGTAGATTATTTTATCTAACAGGCTTGATCTGATCAGACCACCGAATGAAAAGTTAGAGCCAGAAAATTATCAAAAATCACGATTATGCGTACTTATCAGCCTGTAACTTTTTATCCATTGATCTAACCGGATCAATCCTGTTAGGAAAAATAATCCTTACATTCAGAGCTTTCGATTGATATAAAAATCAAAGAGGATAATTTAGAATAAGTAAAGTTATGACCCAAAATAAGGCCCCAGAACAGCCCCTCCTCTTCAAAATCACCTCTTTATGATTCAAACATCTTTGACAAAAATATTTTTTATCTTTGGGATCATCAAAATCAGCACAACTACTTCCTCCAGAGCTTAAAGCTGTTGTTGTTGTTTCAGACAAAACATTTTCAAATTGTTTGTTATTTAAAGGTGTTGGGGTATATGAAAGTATATCTATTAAATTTTTATTTTTTTCTTCTTCCTCATTTTCTTCTAAAGAGGATAATAAGTTTTGTGGGGGTATTGTATACAAGCTATTTATATTTTTTGTTGCCGTTGTAGTAGTAGTTGGTGGTTTGGGTGATGAAAATGTTGAGGAAGTTGGTGAGGAATCTGAAATTTTTTTAAACATTTTTGTCGGTTTTTTAACTATAACTTTTTGTTAAGTGGACCTAAAATTTTGTTCTTTATATCAAAAGATAGAGGAGGATGAGGGCTACAAAATTATTTTTAGATAAAATTTTTATCTTTAAAATCCAAAAAGATATAATAGTTTAAATGAGGCTTACTCATGCATTTCTACCCATATTTTGTTAGTTTTTTGACTATAACTTTGTTCAAGTAAAAGATAAAATAAAATATAAAGTATCATTTTGTAGCCCTAAATCTCCTCTATCTTATGGCAAAAAATCAAATTTATAACTTTCTCCAAAGAAAAATTATGGGCTTTAAACTAGACTCATGTCAGCCTTAAAAGTAAAAAAATGTCCTTGTGGTTAAGTTGGAAAATTCTTTTATTTTCCCCTAAATTCCCCTAAAAAGGTTAAGGGTTCGAATCCACCTGAGGAAAAATATTTTTAAAATTACTATTTGAGATTTTAAGAAGTGTTTTTAATCTTTTGGCATTCTGTTATTTTTTTAGAAAATTAATGTTTCATGAAAAATAAAAGATTCTTTTAAAGAAGAGATAAAATTAAATTGAAAACCCTCCAATTTTTTTCTAAAAATTTATTTGATTGGTTTTGTTGCCGCCCATTAAAAAAAGAGAATAAAGAAAAGAGGCGAGATTGGCTTTTTAGATACGGTAAATGAATTCTCGAGAGAATATAAATGTGCAGGTGTTGCTATAAATTAAAAGAGAGAGAGAAATGATTGGGTAAAAATTAAAGACAGTAAAACCTGACTGACGTTTTAAGTCATAACTTTTTTTTAAAATAAGATACAAATATAAACTAAACTTGTAAAAATAGAGAAAAGTGAGGACTTTAAACTTCTCTAAAAAATAAAATTAAATCTTTTAAAACAAAAAAGTTATGAATTTTTACCTAATTATTTTGACATTTTTGTTAGTTTTTTGACCATAACTTTAAGTTAAGTGGGCCTAAAATTTCGATCCTTATATCAAAAGATAGCGGAGGTTGTGGGCTACAATATTATCTAAAGATAAAATTTTTATCTTAAAAATCCAAAAAGATGATATTTTAAATGAGGCTTACTCATACATTTTTTACCCTTTTTTGTCAGTTTTTTGACCATAACTTTATTTAAATAAGAGCCCAAATAAAAGATAATATATCATTTTGTAGCCCTAAATCTCCTCTATTTTATAGGAAAAAATCAGGTTTATAACTTTGTCCAAAGAGAAGTTATGGGCTTTAAACTGGACCCATGTCAGCCTTAAATTTTTAAAAATGTTCTTGTGGTTAAGTCGGAAAATTCTTTTATTTTTCACCTAAATTCCCCTAAAAAGGTTAAGGGTTCGAATCCACTTGAAGGTAAATATTTTTTAAATTACTATTTGAGTAGAAATGAATGAAACAAAAATAAAATACGAAAAAATAAGTGGAGAATAAAAAAATAAAAAGGGCGGGCAGACTGAAAAGAGTGCAACAACAAAAAAACCAATTTTGCTACTTCCGCGATGAAAAATTTTTTTGCCGACTAAAAGTACACAACTGTCTTTTTTTTATTTTTGTTTGTTGCCTCTCTACGTTAAAAAAATTTGTGTTGCAAAACTTTTAAAAGGTTCTACTGTCAGAAAAAAAGCTTTCCCCTACCTTCAATTCCCTCCACCAATTTCCTCTTGTTCTCTAACCCCTCCTCTGATTTCTTCCCGTTTTCTTCATTTTCTGTATCCATTCTAGGAGGAATAAATTCAGCAACAATATACGGTGAACTAGTTTCTTTTGTAATTGTTGTTGCGCTTTTTCTCATTTCTTTTTGATTGTTGTGTAACAATGAATTACCCAATGGAGGGATCCATTGATGACAATGTTGGGGAAGGTGATTATTGTTGTGGTGATGGAGTAATAGATGCTGTTGTTGTTGATCAATCATTTCTTTCTTTTAATATGGCCTAGAAAAAATTAAAAAATAAAAAAAATTTTCTTCAGAAAAATTATTTCAGTCTCAGAATATACACTTTGCGAATATATGGGCTGTTGCGAGAACAAAATTTGTAGTGATAATTAGAGAAACAGAAATAAAAAATAATCTGTTATTTTCAAGTTTTAATTAACACTCTCTCATATTTTGCCAATAACACATTTCGCCAACAAAGGTAAAAACTTACATTTTGCCAATAAGCTTGTTGACAAAATGCGGGATTTTAGCCGTGTTGGCAAAATGTCGGAAACCGTTTTGTCTAGAAAAAGAAACTTAAATTAAACTTTTTCGATAAAGACCGGTTTGGTGCCAAAAATTAATTGCGGGATTTAATACCGTAATTTTTCAAAAATTTTTTGAAAATTTAAAAAATTTTTTTAAAAATTTTTTAAAAACCTAATAATTGTCAAAAAGATAATGGCCAAGTTTTCTATAAGCTTTATATATACATTTATTTATCTTAAAAAAGAAAGGAGGGGCGTGTCTTGTCAGGTGACTTAACTTTTCTCTTTAAAGACCACCCGCATTTTTATGAAAAAATATATTTTCAAACGAGAACCTAAAATGGATTATACCGTTGAAAAAAACCAAAAAAAAAAGGGAGGGTTGGGAAATAATTTTTTTTTCTTTTTTTCTTGAAGCAGGAGAAGGGGGAAAGGAGAAAAATGTCCAAAAATGGGTTGCAAAAATAAAAATTTTTTTGAAAGAAAAAAAAGAAATTGGCAAAAGATTAAAATAAAAGTAGAAAATGAAGAAAAAAATATTAAATTTAATTTAAAAAGAAATTTAATTTTTTAATCTTTAAGTGTGATAAAAATAGAAGGGAAAGGAAGGGGAAGAAGGAAAAAATGGGGGTGTAAGTACTAGTGATGGTCGGGAATTAAAAAAAGCCGAGAGTCGGGAGTCGAGACCGAGACCGGGAATCAACCCCGAGACCGAGTCCCGGGTCGAGACCGAGAGTCGAGAACAAAAGATTATGTAGGTTATATATATCCTTCCAAAAGATTCCTTTAATTTCATTCATTTTCTGCGCCGGAGGCGAAAATTTTGAGAATTTTGGAGGTCATGAAGCCAGATTTCTCCCATTTTCTGCGCCGCAAGTGAGAATTTAGGCGCCTCATAAGAAGATTTTGAAAAATTCATGATTAAATTAAAATTTTTAATGGCTTTTCAAGTTTAAAATATTAAAAAAATAAATTTAAAATCAAAATCAAAGTTAAAAGGCATTTATTTTTGAAAAGAAAAATTTTTTCGGCCTCAATTCCGCCCCTGGATTCGAACCATTCCTATCAAAATAACGAAACGAGTGAAGTCAATCAACCTAACCACTCAACCATCGACCAACAAGAGAAAAAATGAAAGAAAATATAAATATTTTGTTCCATTTTTCTTAAGAATTTTGATGATAAAGTCCAGGACGTACGAGTAAAATTCAAAAAATTTCCGTCATTAGGGGTGTAAATTTAGTCTCGTTTTCCGAGACTAAAACACCGAGACCGAGATCGAGACCGAGAGCTCAAAAAACCCGGGAAGTTTCCCGACTTGGGAACCAAGACCGGGAATCCCGACCATCACTAGTAAGTACAACAGATTTTCTCTTAAATTTTCTAAAATCTCTTTTAAAAAGAGGATAAGTATAAATACTCAAACTTTTGTTAAAAGCCGTTTCAGTGCCAAAATTAACGTAAATTAAATTAGATTATTTAATAATTTTTCAAATGCCCTAAGGCGATTTAAAAATTTTTTCAAAAAATTTTTCCAAAGAATTTTGCCTGAGGCGATATTAATTACAAAAAATTTTAAAAATTTGTGCCCTGAGGCGATTCAAAAATTTAAAAAATTTACAAAAATTTTTTAAATTTTTGCCTGAGGCAACATTTAAATAAATTCAAAAGATGAATGAAAGCTTATATAAAAATTAAAAGAATGGCCAATTTTCCTTTACTTTTGCCATGTATTAATAGTCTAGTAAAATAACACACACAAAGGGTTTTAAAACAAAAATGTAAATTTATTTCATTTTAAGCTCCGCCCCCTTCCCCCATACTTTAACACAGCCCATTCCCCGTCTAGTGAATAAAGCTTTATAGTCAGCTGCCATATTTCGCCAATACGACATTTTGCCAATAAGGCAAAAAACCTACATTTTGTCATAAGGCTTCAGTGACAAAATGTAAAATTTTGCCTTATTGGCAAAATGTCGTATTGGTGAAATATGGAAACTTGTTTAAGTCAACATTTCCTTCTCGGTGTGTGTTCATTGGCCTTTTCTCTTTCCTTTTCATTTTTTCCCCAAAGCCCCCTCCCCTCATTCATCCACTTTTTTGTTGCCTATTTTTTCCCAACCAACCGCCACATAATAGGCCACCCACATTGGATAAGCAAAATGATGAAAAAATTATAAAATAAAAAAAGGGGTGTGTGCCATGAATGTGTAGGGTATAATGTTCATTGATGCTTTGGATATTTGACATTTTTTAAATAAAAAAATTATTATTTTTTGTCCTTCTCTTGGTTGCCAAGGCATAGAGGAGACTTTTGGGGGACATTTAAAGGTAATCTCCATCTTTGGGGGATAATTTGAGGTGAGGTAATTAGGTAAGGTAATTTGGGGGTTGCTACAGTATCCCAACCTGCTCTCTAACCAGTTTTAACTTTTCGAAAGTTACCATTTTGAAAATTGTCTCTGTAATTAGAGAGGGGCTACAATATCACAGGTATACCTAACAGTATTTCACCCTTTTGAAGGAGTTACCATTTGGAAAAATTACCATTTTGAAGGAGTTACCATTTTGACATTTTTATTAAAAAACATCTGGCTAATGGAAGGTAAACAAAAAAAATTTTTTTTGAATTTAATTTTTAAAATAAAAAAAGAAAGGCGTGCCACGAAATGTAAACGAAAAATGAAACCAAAAAGAAACCAAGTCCCTTCAGTTTCTTTTTATTTGTCCCAAGTGGAGAAGAAAAAAAAATGAAAGGAGAAAAATGGGGACAAAAAAGAAGAAATTCTGGGTGGTCTTAAAAAATGTTTTTTTTAAAATAAGATGAGAGGTTATCTATAAATTATTTTAAAAAATTAAAAAAAAAATTTCTGTCTGTTAGAGAAAAAAAGAAAAAAATTTTTAATTAGACAAAGAAACATTGTTTATTAAAAAGTTGCACTCTAACGCGAATACATGGGGCGAATATGAGTGTACTCTAAGGTTATAGTGATGGTTAGAGAAAAATAGAAGTCTCAAGTTTTATTTAAAAAATAAACTTGTTGTGCTCCTTGCGAATATATGGGGCGTTGCGAATATGTGGACTGTAAAAGGTAAGTGTTAATTAGAGAAACATAAAATAGAAAATAGTCTGTTATTTCAAGTTTTATTTAAAAATATGTTTTGGTGCCATAATTTGAGTGTGTGGATTAATTCATTATTTTAACGATTTGAGACTCTAATGGACCTCAAATTGAGGAGAATAGATTGGAGAAAGTAAGAAGGGGTCATTTGAGTCTCATCTTTATCTTAAATATTTTTGGTTGTGTTTTTAATGTGTTTCACTCCAAATCACGTTTAAACTAAACCCATTTTAAGGCCAATAAAATTTCTTTGTAAAAAAATATCTTTTAAGGAGAATTTTAGATAGAAAACGAGGGGTTATAAAAGACGAAAGAGCAAATAAAAGAAACGCTGTTAGAGTCAGTTGCATTTGCACAAACAGCCATTTTTTTATGTTTCCTTCTATACAAAGTGAAATATACGAAGAGTGAAGGACCACCCAAGTTGTGTGACAAAAACAGCTGCGGCTGCTTTCTACCGGAGCGAAAAAATGAAGAGAAAAGGGGGATGGGAGGGGAGAGAAAAGGAGTGAAGAAGAGAAGCTATTAGAGTATTATTTTCTATTTTAAAGGTAAAAGACTCTAATGGACCTTTAGTTGAGGAGGGAGGAAGGGGAAAAGGGTCTTGCAAATATACGAGTCTTGCAAATATAATGAGGGGTGAGACTTTAATAGGCCTCTGTTAAAGGGGGATAGAAGGGAGAGGGGACTGTCAGAGTCCCTTTAAGGGTCTAAGACTCTAATAACCCTCTTATAAAGGAGGATAGAAGGGAAATGGGGCTTTTAGAGTCCCATTCAATTTTAAAGGTCAGAGACTATAATGGGCCTCTTGTTGAGGAGGATATAAGGGGAAAAGGAGGTACAAGGGAATAGAAGGGAGAGAGGAGGCTGTTCAAGTCCCAAATTTAATTTTAAAGGTTGGAGACTCTACTGAACCTCAACTCACTTATTTTCTCTCCAAATTATCTCTCCAACCCATAACTTTCAAAAAAAAAGACTAGGGCCGTAAAACCAACGTGTGTGGCCTTCCATTTAACAAAAAATAACTCTAACGACGTTTTCCCCTTCCTCCCTATTCTCGAACAGGCAACATAAAATATTAGAGAAAAAGGCCTGTGAGTGGCCTTAAAAAATAGTCAAGTACTTAAAAGACCGATGATGAGAACGAATGTGCAAAAATAAATAAATATATTTTATTTTTTATAATTTTTTTTTATAAAATGCTTGGCGGGAAAGAAACTAAAGATTATTTTTATTTTTTTTAAAAAATAAAAAAAAGGGAACAGCCAATAAACAGTAAAAATGTGTAAAATAAAGGGAAGAAAATTTTTTTTTAATTTTTTGAGAGTTTTTTTATTTCCAATTTGGGAATAAAATGAAGAAGGAGATAGAGGGGATGAAATAAAAAATAAAAAAAAGAAGAAAAAATTTTAAAAAATTTTTAGAAGTATTTTTAGGGGGGTTTCAAGGATTTTAGGTGATTTTTGGGTGATTTTGAGGATTTAAAAATTATTTTCTTACATTTTCTTGCTTTTAAAAAATTCAAAATAATTTTTTTTAATCGAACTTTGATTAAATTTATTTTATTTAACAAAAAACATGTTTTTAAAAATATTTTACACGGAAAGGATTCGAACCTTCT